CAGTCTGGCCTGTATGCTAGCGAGGAGGATTACTGTGCCCACCAGCCCCATAGTCACCATGCTTTGTGCTCTTGGCTTCTGTGCTGGGACAGAGTGGGATGCCAGTAAGAGAAGAGGGGATGCAGTCTGAGGCCACCGCCCTCCTGACTATCTAGAAAAAGGAAAGGCCTCTTAAAGCTGCCCAATCAGGGGCCCTCGTCCTGATGGGCCTTCCACTTTGCCCTTTCCCAGGACTGAAGGCCTAGTGGGGCTGAGCATGGGGCTAGCTTTTGGAGTATAGAGGTGACTATAGGAGCAGAGTTCATGAATAGCTTAGAGCAGTGAATGGAGCAGCAAGAGTAGGGCTGTTGTGTAGGTGGCTTTGGCCAGGATTACCTCAGCCCCTCCCCCTGGGGGTGGTGGGTGGGGATCTCAGCTCTGCTGACCCCCACTCCATCGATAGCCTAGCTTCCCAGTCTGTTCTCAGAAGAGAACAGGCTTCCGCTTCCTTCCCCCAAGATAGCAAGTCTGGGACAACTTGGGGGGAATGGGATCACCCCCATTCCCAGTCCCTGGCAGACTGAGACTAAAGCATCACTTAATAAAGACCCCTGAAGCCCCTCCACCAAAAAATATTTATAGGGGTGAGTGACAAAGTGAGTCCAGGCTTGATATTTACCCCACCCATGGCCAATGATATTTTATAGTTAAGAATGCTAGTTGGCATGATTCGCTTGAGAAGAGTGGTGGTGTGTTTGGTACATTTGATTAAGTCTTGCCAGTAGCAACTGCATTGAAAATGAGTGATTCTAATAGGTTACTGGGAGGGAAGAGTGATATTCAAAACAACTGGTAGGCCCAAGTACCAAACACTCAAATCTCCAGGGAATTTATAGCTAAGTTAGTTACTACTGCTTTGCATGTTCCAACCCTAAATTATCACAATTCTTCCTTACCCCTTACTGTGTACTAACTATATGACCCTTGTCCTGAAGATCACAGTGGATACCAACCCTGCTAATAAGGTTCTACAGGATGGGTAGAGACAACGTGTGAATGTAGAATAGTGACTGGAGTTGAGGAGTTGAAAACCATTCAGAGCAGAGAGACCCCTCTACCTATGCATATTGACTTCTCTAGTCAGAAAGCCCAGGCATGTCTTGCAAGACAAAATGGACAAGTACCCAGAGTCATGTAGGGCTTATTGAATGATGGGCCAGGGTCATACACTTGACGTGTCTCTGACAGGAGCTAGTCTCTAAAAAGTCCTAAAGGAGGGAAGCCAAGACCTTGACAATGAAAAGAGAGAAACTCCAAGGCAACGACTTACCTGAAAGAAAATATGCCCTCAAAAAAATTATTGTTGATCTTGGTCACTGAGCTGCTGTGCTAAGACAAATCTGTAAGACCTCTTTGGCATATTTAGGAATCTCAAGGACAAGGATGGGAGCCAGTGGTTAGCTGTGATTATAGTTACTCTGGATTCTCTGTGCTCTTTGTACCTTAGAATCTAAGACATCTCTCTGGGTTGTTCTTTGTAGAAAAGAGGGTACCTCTCCCAGCAAAGAGGTATATCTAATGCTCTAATCTCCTCCCCTAATCAAAATAACAAGCTAACATGTAATGAGCTACTCACTGTGTGTCAGGCACTATGCTTAGTGTTTTGATATGGATTGTCCCTTTTGATTCTCACAAGCCTGTAAGCTGGGTAGGGTACTCTTATTCCTGTCTTCACTCAGAGAAATTCCCAGGTCAGCTAGCTTGATAAGGGTCTGGAAAGTACAGTAATGGCCTATAGTAACAAAATTAAGATTCATTCAAAAATAAATAAGAGTGTGCTGGTTGTATTTGGGGGATAGTCTTTAAGAAACTTCTTGTGATTGATGGATTCTATGTAGAAAAATTTGGTTGACACCCAGGAACACATATATTGTACAAAGGGAAGTGTCTCAATATACTGAAATTCAATTTTGTCAGAGGTTTTTTCAAACTAAATTCATCCTGCCCACATTTATAGGTGGCACTCCCACCCCCTTTTAGTTACACTTCCCCTTCCCTCTGGGTCGAGAAAATATGCCGGCCTCATAAACACCCATGCCATAAAGAAATGTGGATGGTCCAATTTACTTGAGAATCTCGGTTTGTTGAATTACAGTCACCTGCCTGATAAAACTCTTCTTTAGTAGATATTTGCTGGGTGAGAATGATTGTCAGCATTGTCAGTGATATTATTGGACAAATTGGAGGAATGTTAGTGGGCAAAGAGTGGCTAGAGAAGACCCAGGGAAGATGTAGATCATATGCCATGTAACCATGTTTGGGTCAATGATACATTGCATATATGACCGTGGTCCCAGAAGATTATAATGGATTATAAGCAAAAAGTTTGTTTGCAATGTTTAAAGGAAAGGCTGGACCTTACTAAGATGCTGAATTTACTGGTAGTTCTGTGAGGTTTAAGTAGACGAGGAGGCTCAGCATGCTTTCTACCCACCATGTTCCTGCCCCAGGCTTGGGCCTGGAGTTGGCCAGGGGGAGGAATGGAGCCTGGGAGATCGCCACCCCCCACCCGTCCAATCCTCTGTTTCCCTCCCTCTCTTTCATTTCTTCCTTTTATTATTTCTCATCTCAAGCTTTATTTCTCTGGGTCTCTTTTGATATCTGTTCTCCCTTTCTCTCTCCTCTTTTTCCCCTTCCTCCCTCCCTCCTCCTGATGTCTTTTCTCCCTCAGACAGTGCCTTCCTCCACAGCCCTCCACCAGGTCCCCACAATGTGTGTGCACATGCATGTGCACACACATACTTTATTTTTTATGAAATATTTTTATTATACCTTTTCTATGTTTAGCTGTGTTTAGATACACAAATAGTTATCACTATGTTGTAATTGCTTAAAGTGTTCAGTACAGTAACATGTTATACAGGTTTGTAGCCTAGGAGCAATAGGCTACATCATAGGTATATAGTGGGCTATACCACCTAGATTTGTTTAAGTATACTCTATGATGTTTGCACAGTGACAATATTGCCTAACCATGCATTTCTCAGAATGTATCCCCATCATTAAGTGATTCATGACTGTATTTGGACAGAGAAGATAGAGCCCTTGCTCGGGCACACAGAAGATCTAGATTTTAGGAGCAGCTCTGTTAGTGATCAACTGTAAAGTCTTGGGCAAGTCACTTAACCTCTCTGTACCCCAAGTTCCTCATCTGTTTAACAATTGGGTTGGACTAGAGGCTCCATAACATTCCTTCCAGCTCTATGACTAATAAACAATCTCAGTCAGAATCAGTCAGACCCATAAGGTGCCTGGAGTTGTTCCCTTGGAGATGAGGCCATATTGCAATGCGTAATAGGAAATGACACAGAATGTCAGACCCTCCAGATGGGGTTGTATGACTGATTGTTCTGCACAAGGTTTTTATCTTTCAGAAACAGTTATGGGCTAGTTGGTTTATACTGCCTAGTGAGACTGTATAGGGTAGGAGTTAAGAGCATGAGTTATGGAGTTGGACCTTAGTTTGAAAACCAGTTCTGCTGCTTCCTAGTGGGTGCCCTGGGACAAATGATTTGATTTCTCTGAACATCAGTTTCTGCTTCTGTAAGATGATGATAATAGAACAACCTCATAGGCTCGTGAAGATGAAAGGCAATAACGTATGTAAAGCCCTTAGCTCAGCACCTGGGAAAATGGAAGTGCCCAGTCAACCGCGTCTACGACTACTATTGGTGTACTCATTGCTATCAATGTAATTCTCCTGACCTGGCCATAGCTAAGCTTCAGCACTTTTTCCTGAATATAGCTTTCTCTTTCTGGATAGAGTTTGAGAAATGCATAAATAGATCTTTCTAGCCTAAAGCAGCTCTAGAATTGGATCTGGGTTTGGTTCCCTAATCTGCTTCTTACATGCGCTGGGACCTTGGGCAAATTATTTAACTTCTCTGCCCTCATCTGTAAAATGCAGGCAGGTATAGTGCCTACCCCCAAGGGCTGTGATGAATGTGATAATGAATGTGAAGAACTTAGTGCTGTGCCTGACATTTAGAAGCCACTCAGTAAATGGTGGCTGTGATAGTGGTGGTGAAAATAATCACCACTGTAAGAATAAATGATTACCTCCACTACCACTACTCTTGTTGGCGTGGAGGGTCGAATGTGTTCAAATTTGTACAGTTTTTGCATACCTAACCAGAGTTTTGTAGAGGCAGCAGTTGCTGTTCCTGAAGGAATTGTTGCCAGTGGCTGGGAATTTAAAACTGAGTTGTTTTTGGAGGTACAATGGAAAATGATTCAGCAGACCATAATTCTCAGGAGAAAAGTTCTGTTTATTTCTGCCAGTTCCCTTATACCCAAAAACTGTAGGGGAAAAATGTAATTCTAAACTGGTCCTGTACATCTAAGGCTCAATTTCAGTTGGCCAGCGAGGACATGTTCACAGGCTTCCTCAGGAGCATCTGGGTGCAAAGATGTACTGTCTCTATTTTTGCCAAGGTTGTCTTCATTCTCAAATGGATGCTACCTAACTTTTCTTGAGCCTCTTGATGTATGTAAGATTCATTTGATGGCTAGAATGCAGATGTACAGGAACGATGAGATTCCTCAGGAATGTGATGTTAGAATAGGTGGAGTTGTAGGGGACTGTAAGGGTATTAGTTGAGAACTAGAAACTGAAAAACTGAAGTAATCCTAATGGTTCTAGAGATGAGTGTATTTACTGGGGGGATGGGGGATATTAGATGTCTCTTTTTATGTCCCTCCATTTTTCTCTTTAGAAGTCTGTTAAAAGTCAAAAAAGAGAAAGAAAACAGCCAGTCATTGCAAGTGAAAGTAAGCTCCAGGTTTCCTGTCCTTCCCAGACTACTCCAGGTTAGGAGGGTGCTGACCACTTTCTAAGGGAGTGTAGACTGCACCTCACCAGTCACCCGCCCTCTGCCCTGGTCTCATACTTTCTTTCACTCTTGATCTCTCCCTTCTCCCTCTCATTTAAGGAATACTAACCACAGGTTTCAAAGATGTCTTCATAGGCATCTTCCAGCATCATCTCTTCTGCAGGCCAAGTAGCCATTCTCTTTTTTGGGCTGGGTTCTGAGGTTATAGAAAAAAAAAAAGTGGATTTCAATTTTGGACAAAGATTTAGGGGTAATTTCTGATATCTAGAAAAGCACTTCCTCTATTCTTCCACCATATTTCTTTTAGACAATTCTTATCTTCACCCCTCATCTCCAGATCAGTGCCTCTTTCCTCTTCAGTGCCCCTGAACAAGTCCAGGCCCCTCCACATAGGTGTAACAATCCAAGACTCTGGGGTAGCCTGAGGGCCAGATCCCTTGGAGAGCAGAGATGACATTATAATATTGATAGTTGACCATCACGGTGACTGGGGTCCCAACAAACACTGAGAATGAGGGGCATTTAACAACAGTGGGCCTTCAAGTCCTCACAGCTATTTTTTTTTAAATGCCTTTATTATACTTGGAAAAATCATATATGCTTATTGTAAAAAAGTTTTCCAATAAAACAAAAATCCAAAAAAAGGCACCTAAGCCTTTTACTTCTCTCCTAGTATATCACACCTAGAGAAAACCACTGCCAATGTTTTAGTAATTTTTCTCCAGATATTCTATGTATGTGTACACATCATGCTGTACATGCTATGCTCTGACTTGCCATTTTCTCTAACAAAACATTGGGTTGTGGAAAACTTTCCATGTCAGTAAATATAAGTCGACAATAACCCTTTTAACATCTGCATAGTATTCCATTGTGTAGATGCACCATAACTTATTTAGTTATTTCACATTGTTAAACATTTAACCTGTTTCCAAGTTTTAGTTATTGTACACAATGCTGTAACTGAACAATCACAAGCATCCTTTTTTTTTTTTTTTTTGGTACTTGTGTAATTATCTTTGGATATAGTTCAAGAAATGAGATGATTGGTTCATAGGGTTTCCACATTTTTAAAGTTCTTAATATATATATTGAGAGAGGGAGAACAAGAGGGAGAAAGACAACCAAAGTACTCTCCATAAAGGTTGTACCAATTTGTACTTCTACCACTGGAAATTGTAATGTTTAAGATAACCCTATACCCATTCAAACAAAGATCTTGTGTCAGCCAGTGCTGAGCGATCATCCTGGAGTACCGGGTGGTCCCCAAGGACTTTCCCTGCCCTTCATCCACTTCTCCTGACCACCAACCATAGTATGAGAAAAGAATTTCAGACTCAAAATAGGAATACTGTTTTATAAATTGTGAGAAAAGGTCTATATATAGGGTGTCCCCCAATTGAGCTGATAGCTCAATTGATGTTTCTTTCTTTTCAGATTTAACCCATTGGAACTAATAATTATTCAAAGTGTGTATACAGTTTTTTGGGACACCTTGTATTTTTTCTTCTCAGACTAACCACTGATCCAGCATTACCTTCAAAAAGATCATCATCATCATCGTAGTCGTCATACTCATCATCATCGTTAGTATAAGTTGCTGGGGTCTGAAAGTCAGCTCTCTGGTTGTAGTGAAGGTCAGTACTGTTTTGAGCTCCATTTACATCAAAACATTCACCTTCCTCCATGGGTTCATCTAAAGCGAATGTCACTGATACATTCTTTTTAGGTCTTAATCTGAAGTCGTCTTTCTATACAGCAAGAAAATGAAGGGGGGAAAAGTCAGTTGGTACCTAATAGTTTAGAGGTTGGTCCATGGGGCAGTAACATTTAAAGAGCCATTTACCTGTAGAATTGGCTTTAGGGGCCTAGCTTCCATTGAATGTTGTCCTAGAAGTTCTTCTTTTTCTTCTGGCATTTCTATGTTGGTTGGGAAGCTGGGGAAGATGGAAAGAACAAAGCAATAGTGAAAATAGACATACTTCAAGCTCTATAATTAAATGCAGCTGTTACTCCATTCCTGTCGTATGCATTTGAACAGTGAAAGGGACAATAGAGCAAGAGGACATTTAGGCCTTTTACTCCTCAAAACCTTGATCACCACTTGTTTTATTCTTTTTCATATTCCTGTTCTCTCCCATATTTCCTTATTGGATCAGAAAACTGCAAGAAGAGAATGTGGGGTGGCTCCAGGACATTCATGTAGAGAATATTGCCTATAAGCTCCTTAAGGGACCTGTGTTCCTTTTCTCCTCTGCATGGCAAGCTAGGGAATAAAATTCCTGTTTTGGAGAAGCTCTAATGTTGATAGGTTGCCTTTACCTTTCTGCAACTCATCCCACTAATGTGACCACTCAAGTTGTGCCATAGGGAGAGTGTACCTAACAATGCTAGAAAGTTTGTGGTCACTGACCTAGCTCCATTTGAGCCAACTGATCTTGAGAGAATTGCTCAGAACCACACAGGCCCAGCGTGGCTCAGTGGTTGGTCATCAACCTATCATCCAGGAGATCGCGGTTCAATTCCCAGTCAGGGCACATGCCCGGGTTGTGGGCTTGATCCCTATCAGGTGCGTGCAGGAGGCAGCCAATCAATGACTCTCTCATTGTTGATGTTTCTATCTCTCTCTCCCTCTCCCTCTCTCTGAAATTAATAAAGACATATTAAAAAAAAAAAAAAGAAGAACCACACAGAATCCAAGCACCTCCCAGAACTCCCTGCTTATGTTGAAGACTGACTCCTACATCTGTTCTTATCAGCCTAATAGAGGCAGCTCAGTACCTGATTGGTGCACATTCTTCCTTGATGCCTGTGGTGTCCGTGGAGGTTGGGATGCTCGAGGTGAGTGACTGTTGGCGAGCACACAGTTCTTCCTGTTTATTCTGAATGGCAGTTAACAGCCAGCGCAGCCCATCAATTAGGGGCTTATGGTTGCTTCTTTGGAGGTTTTGGATAGCTGAATAGGGTTCCTATGACCAAAAGAGAAGATTCCAGCTCAGGAACCTGGGACCACTGGGGACCACAGTCCCCATCACTCTCAGTCAAGGAGCAGAGGTACACATAAGCTCTGCTGTGCCTAGATAGGTTTTAAGACTTCCTAGGAGACACTCAGCATTCACACCTTAGCTACAAAAGCTAAGGTTGTTTAATAAAGTGGTTGTGGTGTAATGTCTTGGATGTGTGACCTTGGGCAAGGGATTCAGTTTTTGAGCCTCATCTATAAAATGAGGATATTGAAGCTTCCAACTTTATAGAGCAATTTTGAAGGTCTAATGAGAAAACAGATGTGAGAGTGTTATAAGTGTGATGTTGCCCGGCCGGCCGTGGCTCAGCAGTTGAGCGTTGATCTAGGATCCAGGCGATCGGGGTTCGATTCTCGGTCAGGGCACATGCCCGGGTTGCGGGCTCGATCCCCCAGTCGGGGGCGTGCAGGAGGCAGCTGATCAGTGACTCTCTATCATTGATGTTTCTATCTCTCTCCCTTCCTCTCTCTCAAATCAATAAATATATATTTTTTAAAAAAATTAAAAAGAAAATAAAAATAAGTGTGATGTTATCACTAGCGAGTCAGATATCACTGTAGATGTTGCCTGGCAGGGAGAGGCTTTGCCTAAGACCTAGCATACGGGGCTGATTAAGGAATGGCGCAAGGTATGCATCAGCTGGGCTTGAGAGGGTGGGGGAGGGGAGGGGTTGACACTTACCAATCGGCACATGAACTTGTCGTCATTCACTATCCTTTCCAGGAATAGATATTTAATAATATCACAAGGTAAGAGGGCATTCTTCTTGTCTTGTTTATTTGCCAATCTAGAGCAGGGCACAGGAGAGAGGGTGGGAAGAAGAGAGGAAGAGTGAAACAGAAATAGAAGCCAAGGGCAAGAAAAGAAGGGAAATAGGGGGAGAACCAATTATGCTACAACTGCTGCATATCCAAGAACTAGCTTTAAAAACCTACACAATGAGATGAGCCAGACATTTTTCTAGCCAATTCTCAATGGAGGAAAGAATAGCACAAATGATTTGAATCCAAGATCATCCCCAGACCTCATTTCTTGCTTCCTCTCTACACTATCAAACTTTAATTAGAATTGCTAACTGGGATATGAACAGATTTGGAGTTTTTAACACCCTCTCCCAAACTCTGTTTGCGCTTGAGTTGAGGGTACTAATGAGGAACAAAAAAATGGAAAAGGGGAATGGGAGTGAGGATTGACGGGACATCTGAAGTATCACCCTGGAATCAGTGCTAGCTACGTGACTCGTGGGCAGTCTGAAAAGGGAGGAGGCCATTGGAATCAATTATACAAAATAGAGGTGGTTTTCTGCCACCATTTCAGGGTCAGAGACTAAAGCCAAAAAAGAGAAACAAATTCAGGAAGACACTCTTCAGGAAGAGTCAAGGGATGGGGGTGGGAAATCCAGATATTACTCTCCATTTTCCTTTGATGCTTGCTTTCAAATTACCTTTGCACAAGTAGGTAGCATTTTCACCCATGGCAGTGTATGGTAGAAAGTAGCTCTTGAAAACAGACCCCAGAGGACTGGGTCACTCCCCCCCTCACTGAGCTAAAGGGAAGAGGAGATCTAACTGGATGTGACAAAGGGAATACCCAGCTGTTCCTTTGTCTGCTTGTCTTCTGAAGGCATGAAATGGGAAGGGGAAACTGGGCACAAGGGGAAATTGAGCACAAAGGCAGAGGCTTACAATAGAATGGGTTTTCCTGCCACTCTCGCATCAGACAGCAGATGTGATAAGGTGGTCTTCACTTCCTGCATGCGTCCCAAGTCGCTGGAATCCAGGACAAAAACAAGCCCATGTGCCTGTGCGTAGTAGTTGGGCCAGATTTCTCGTCCCTTCATATCTCCATTCAGGTCATAGATGGAAACTTCATAGTCATCTAGCAGGACTGTAGTCAGTTTCGATTTCATACAACTGTCTGTCTTGCTAGGAAGTACTATGCATAAGGGAAGAGAGAAGCAACCACAAAGCAGAGTGATATAGTTAGATAAAAATTCGTTAAACAAACTTTGACTAGAGCCTGCCCTGAGGAATCCTACTGAGGCATCCTGCCATTCTGCTCACTCATGGGTTCATCTTCCTAAACCAGCACTTTACTCAGGCTACTCTCTTCTGGCTCAGTAATCTTCAGTGAGTGGCCACCGGTCCCAGGAGAGAATACAGACTCCTTTGCCTCGTAACCTGCCAGACCTATCTGTACCCTCTCTGGTGTCCACAGTGTCCCTGGTACACACCCAGTCTGCTCCTTGGCTAATACTCCCCTCACTCCGCAAGAATGCCATGCTCTTTTGTGCCCTGGGCATTCACAAGATGCTATTTCTGCAGCTTAGAACATTTTCTTCCACTGCTCTTTCCTTGGTTAATGCCTATTTTTAAAAAAATCTATTTAGAACTTATATGCATAAATGCATAACCTATAGACACAGACAATGGTATGGGGAAGGCCTGGGGGTAGGGTGGATGCGGGGTCAAGGGGATCAATGGGGGAAAAAGGGGACATCTGTAATACTTTCAATAATAAAGATAAATTTTTAAAAAATCTATTTAGATCTTGTTTCCTCTAGAAAGTTTTCCCTGACTCAAACCACCATCCCCCAGTCTGGATAAGGTGCCTTTCTTCTGGGCTTACCACTATCACAGCACATATGACAATGTTATAAATTCAACAATTTACTTATTGGGTTATAAACTGCAACAGGACTGGAACCCTTTCAATTTTATTCACCGTTATATTCACAATGCCAAGTGCAGAAGCTGGCACACAGATGCTCAATAAATATTTGTTGAATGAATTTGATGAATGAATGAATGAACAGGAGGCCCTTCTCTCCCACCCCTTTTTTAAGGCTCAGGAAGGCCTCTTTAGGAAAGCCTCTCTGGCCTGCCCAGTTCGCACTTTCTCTCCCTTGTTCAGCACATGGTCTGTTAAACTGGTCCTTCACCTCATTCTGTGCATGCCATGTTTCCCCAACTAAAATAGTGATGGAGGGGCTCTGCATTAGGTTACACACAGTAGGTGTTCAATAAATGTTTATGGTGCCTGTTATTGTGAATGAGTATGAAGTCCTTTTCATACCTCCTCCAAGAAACCACACCGAATTCAGATACATTTGCCTTTTCAAGGCCATGGCCAGAGCATACAGTCCCATAGGGCATTCCATACCTCATTCTGCTCCCATAGAAATGCAGTTCAAAAGGGCAGTCATTATATACATTCCAGTCTGTTGAACTGACAGTTCTGACCTAGCTTTCTTCCCACATAAGTAGTAAAATGATTTTATAGATTCTCTATGCTCAAACTTGGGAGTTCTAAGGCCAGAATCAGTAGCTTTTTATTTCTAGTCTCAGATCTACCTATGACATTATCCATAGAATTGCCAGAATGAATAATTTAGCTGTGAAGTTAGTAGATGCTTTCAGATCTTTGGAAATGTATGATTATATAGACATTTACATGTGTATATATATTTACATATGCATGCATATATTATTATTACATTTTTTAATTTTTATTTTTTAAAATATATCTTTATTGATTTCAGAGAGAGGAAAGGAGAGGGAGAGAGATAGAAACATAAATGATGAGAGTCATTGATTGGCTGCCTCCTGCACGCCCCCGACTTGGGATCGAGCCCACAACCCGGGCGTGTGCCCTGACTGGGAATCGAACCCCGATAGCCTGGATCCTAGGTCGATGCTCAACCGCTGAGCCACACCCAGCTGGGCCATTATTACATTTTAATATGATCTTATAACTTCTCTTCTGTTCTCATGTTAGTCAATTATCTTTTTAATTATAACTTTCAGATAACATACAATTTTCAGCCAAAACTTTGATGTGATATTTGCTATGTCTGCATTAGACTACTTAAAAATAATAAGTGAATGTGTTAAAACTCTAAAGGTAATTTTAAATTTGTTTCCTGCATCAAGGCAAGCTTTATGTTATTTTTCCCTGTCTAATCAAAATATTTTCCCTAGTTATTTTTTTCTTTTTACTTGAAACCTTACTAATTTCTTCAATAATGCAATCCATTGTTGGTGAACCCTAGAAGCCATGAGAAGTTGTTCCCTGACACTTTACATTTCTTTTATTTCCTCTATTAATTCATAAACTCCCTGGGGACAGGTAATGAGTCTAATTCATCTCTATATCCCTGGTGGCATATTTCATAAAGCACAATGGTCTGGGGACTCTCAGCTTCCGAATTACATGGTAGCTATAAAGTCCTACCGTACACCAATTGAATCAGAATCTGTATGCTGGACCCAGGTATTTGCATGTTTAACAAACTCCTATATTTAACAAAATCTCCAGGTGATCCTTCTGCATTTTAAAGCTTGAGACCCACTGCCCTAGAGAGCAAAGAAACTAATGCCTGTTGTGTCTCAGCATCATCTGGTGTTGCTTGTTAACATTTTGATTCCATGGGCCCTCCCTAGTCCAAAGTATCTGAGCCTCCAGGTCCCGGTAAGTAAGTGTGAAAGTGCTCCAGGTGACTCTGATTTGGGGCTTTCAGTGCTTATTATGCTAAAGGATCACTATGGAGTTTTTAAAAACTATGACACTAGGCCTCCTTCTCTGAGGGTTTGATGCCATGGATCTGGGCTGGGACTCAAGCATCATGTTTTATGTTAAAGCTCCCCTGGTGATTGAAATGTATAGCCAGGTTTGAGAAGCACTGCTCTAAATGCCCTCATTTAGGGCACCTGCTTGTGCTCATCTTGGGTTTTTCACCCCACATGACCATGCCAGACAAAAGTTATAGTGAATGGTGTCATCGAGAATAATGTCTTCTGTCCCCAGATATTTTATAGCTGGCACCTTCAAATGTTCACACAAGTGAACCTGTAGATTGGAATTTCCTTCCTAGGCTATAATCTGTTCTTGGCAATCATAAACATTTGCAGGATCAGGAAAGGTGAGCTATTGCATATTGGGTACACAACAGCCTAATAGATTGACTCTGGTAATCCTGTATGGACAGTGGTGGACTGAGACATTCCTTAGAATATGACATCAGTGGCACTTTGCTTCTTGGCCATTAGAAACTTCTCTGTGAATGAAGTCACAACTCCAGGCTCTATCCTCTAGGAATTAGAATGGAAAGAATATAATATTCTCACAGACAAAATAGCATATGGCTAATTGCAGATGAGTGCTTTCCAAAGCCGGCTGCCCATCAGAAACACCTAGGGAGCTCTTAAAATATAGATTCCCAGGTCCCACCCAGACTGCCTGGGAATCTAGGGGCAGGGCTGAGTGGGGGCTCTAAAAATTATCCCCACTTTTGTCAGTAATCTTGTGATTTATCCTGGCTCCTTGTTTTTCCTGGTGCTGTTTACCTTTTTATCATGTCTGGTTATCAGTAATTGGGAGAGGCAAGGAGTCAGGTTTGCTGCCTATAGGGTGGCACACTAGGTTGAACCA